AAAAAAAAAAAAAAATGGAGTTTGACTCTCATTCATTCATCTTTATATCTCTTTCTTTTTTTCATGATAAATGCGTTTTTCATTAACTTTTACGTCCCCTTCTTTCTTTCTGTTTCTCTTCTCGTTCCCTGTAAGTATATATATATATATATATATATATATGGATTGTCAATAAAGTAGCACAACAATCCTTGTTTCTATTCTCTTCACACCACGTTGGCGGTCCTGCCTTCATACATACAAACAAACAAACAGAGAGAGAAGAAGAATTCAAGGACATTATAGATATATATATATATATATATATATATATATACTTATTATTATTTTGGGTGTATTACAAATTCTTTTCTTGGTATATTCTAAGACGTAGGTCCCCTAGCATTAATAATATCAGCTGCAGACATACTTCACACGAATCTATATATAAGTTTTTCAACCTATATAAATAAATATATATATTTTTTTTTTACCCATTGGTTTATTAATTTCTTTTGCGTTTTCCTACACTCATACTCTTCATTAGCTTTTACTTTTTATTAATTTTTTTTTGTTTTATCCTTTTGCGTTTTATCTTCGTTTGTTTATTTATTTTTTTCTTTTTTTTTTTTTGCGTGAACATATCTGTCTGTATATATATATGAACACACAGACACCAGACGGAAAGAGAGAGAGATAGATAAGAGAGAGAGAGAAATACAAGACGGTCACCCTAATATATATATATATATGTGTGTATATAGATATAGATATGGATATATACAGATATAGATATATATATAGATCTTTATTTCCATTCCTGTATCTCTTTTCTTCTTCTCTTCTCTCTTCTCTTCTCTTCTCTTCTCACATCAACTCACTCTCTCCACGCGGGAGTGTGTCTTGCATGGCCTGTCGCCGTTCCAAATCCAACAGACTCGTAATAAACGCCACTGCCTCATGATAATCACTTGTCTTTCCATAAATACGTGTGGTCCGCACTAATGTATAGCCCAAACTGGCAGGCACTAAAGTAATATCAATATCACACACCCCATTCACAGGATTTACTACACCTGTACTTCCAAAGGCAAGAACACGATGTGTTTGAGAAGAGGCGGCTTGATTTTTACTATTTTGTAATTGTAAAGCGGCGGATTTATTATTATTATTATTTTTATTATTACTACTACTTTTATTATTTCCAGAATTGGCGGATTTCCCTTTCAATTGTAAAGAAGCCGAGTTGGCATTCTTTAAAGACTCTGAAAGTGAAGGAGCATCAGAACTACGGCATAGGAGAAATTCCGTAGAAGATCCATTTAATAAAGATGAGGCCACACCTGGTAAAGAAGTAGAGGATGTTAACATGGGAGTAGCCGTTTCCATTGTTGTTCCTACTTGTAAAGCGGCAGAACCAAGATAACGAAAGGAATACACATTAGATGTTGTGGAAACCATATCATCATTATACATTAACATAAGACGTTCTCTACAACTTGTTAATCTCTTTAATACCGCATTTGGAAGTCCAAAGACAAGAAATCCATGCATAATACACTCCGATACATTACGAGATTCTAATAAACTTGCTAAATTAGTAGCGATGGCTAATTTTTTCCCCATTGGGTGTCTAACTAATATATCTCGTTTCACAACTCCAATGAGAAATTTATCAAATGTAATTTCACCATTAGAACCAATTTCACGTTCATCAAAGAATCGCATCAGACTTTTAATTTCCTCATCCGTTACATCTATATTACAACGTTTAAATAATTTTCTCCATTGATACACATTAATTACACCTGTATGAAGTTCATCCACACTATCAAATGCCGCACGTAATTGTCGTACTACCTCTCGTTCTGTTTCTACCATTTGTGCTCCTATTATATTTGGAAGTTGAAACTCACTTTGAAGTTTAAATGGACGATGGGCGAGATCTTTCTTTACCCAGGCATCATAAAATTGCTGATAAGTAATAGATTTACTCTTTCGATCTCCTGTAAAGAGTTCCATTAACTCCGATACATCATCGGCACTAACTTTTTCTCCATGTAATGTATTTAACATATCACGAATTTGATCTCGTCCAATTTCTCCATATTCATCAATATCTATTTTATGAAAAGCGGCTTTTAACACCGCCTCCTCTTCACAAGTCACATTATGTTGAATAGAAAAATCCAAAAAAGACATGGGTTGTTTAAGAAAACCATGTCGTGGAAATAAAGTCACATCCAAATTCACAGCAAACCATTTATTTTCAATAATTTGCGCTACTGTTGGTCTTTCTGTGGGTTCAAAGGCAAGCATACGTTTAACGAGAGCTCTTGCCTCTGCTGAGATGCGAGTGACTTCCTCCTCTTGAAATTCAAATTTCCCTCTTTGAATGAGATGCATGGTTTCCTCATCATCTCTCCCATCAAATGGTAAACGTCCTGTCAACATAAAGAAAAGAATAATCCCCGCACTCCAGAGATCTTGTTGAAATGGATTTACAGTCGCTGGATTACTATTCGGAATGGCCATCTCTGGTGAGGTGTAGTGCAGTGTCCCAGTCTCATGCGGTGGTTGGGACTCATCATCATTCACCCCACCATCCACACACTCCAACTGGGCTTTGCTAGAGAAACCAAAATCACACACGAGCAGTTTATTCTTTTTACCCAACAGAAGATTCTCCGCCTTGAGATCACGATGGGCCACACCATTGCTGTGGCAGTAATCAATAGCGGAGATGAGTTGTTGAAAGTAAAGACGAGCGACATCTTCTTTAAAATATCGCTGAGATATAATTAAATCAAACAACTCTCCACCTTCAGCAAGTTCCAAAACAAAATAAAATGCAGTGGTACTCTGTAGAAATTTATACAATTTGACCACATGTGGATGTTCAAGAGATTGCATAACAATAGCTTCTTGAATAATCTTGGCCTCATGACCTAATAAATAATTATTTTGCAGTACCTTCAGAGCAAAGTGTTCACCTGAGGGAACGTATGTGACTAGATATACAGAGCCGTAACTTCCCTCGCCTAGTCTCTGACCAGCCACGTAGTCCTTTAACACCACCGTCTCATCCTCCAATAGTGAAGAGCCTGTGAAGATGGTGGAGGAGGGCATTTGTGATAAATGGGAGAGGGGGGGAAAGAGGAAAAAATGGGCTGCGCTTGTGGGGAATCTTACGTGTGGTTTCTTTTATATATATATATATATATATATATATATAAAGAAGTGACTCACTTACTGCCTACCACTGGTAGGAAAAGGTCCCTAGTAGGAGTAGGAGCAGGTAGTAGTAGTAAATGCAAGTAAGTGTAGTAATTGTGTCTGTTCTGTTTGTTTGGTCGTAATAATAATAATAGTAATAATAGTAATAGTAATAGTGATAATAATAATAGTAATAGTAATAATAATAGCAACTCTAACGCTGATAATGGGCCGGAAGAAGAGATGATAATCAGGCGACAGCGAAGAGAGGGAGGAGGAACGTGAAAGAAGGGGAGAATCAAAAACAAATGAGAAACAACAAAAAAAAAGAAAAAGAAAAAGAAAAAAAGGGAAGAGGTGCGCACGCACGCACGCAAAAAACGCACGCCTGGCACTGCTATATGTGAAAAAAAAGAAGAAAAGAAAAGAGAGAAAAAAATAAATTTAGTCAACTGGCTATAGTAGTAGTCATTGCAGTAGAAGAGGAATCATTATTATTATAAGGATGTCTCTCTTGTTTTTAATAATAATGGTAATAGCAATAATAATCACATAATATATATATATATATATATATATATATAAAGTCAACGTGAGAAAGAACATCACATCTACATTAGACAGCAACCATGGGAAAGATATAAAAAAAAAAAGACAATAAAAAAGATAATAATAATAATAATAATAATAGAAAAAAAGGCAAAATCCTGACGTTATTATTTATTCACAGTAACTCCTTTAAAAAGAAAAAAACAAAAAAAACATATTAGTTTGTTTCTTTTTTCCAAGAGTAAAAGAAAACAAAAACGAACAAACAAACAAGCACAAGACAATCTTACAATCATAAAGTATGCTGCAATACAAAAAAAAAAAAGAAAAGAAAAAAAAAAACAGATGAGCCCAACAGAGACTATAATAGGACCCCTCTCTTTCTTTTCTTCCTCTCTTCTTTCTGTTTATATACTTATAATTGTGCCTATTAGATTATATATATATATATATATATATATATATAATCCTATTCCCATCGGTGTAGTTTCCCTATTCCGTAGAGTTGATGATGTAACCGTTTTCCCTCACGGCCTCTACTCAACAGCAATAAATTCCAAAAAACAAGCAATCGCACAATATCCAATAATCCCTGTCCAACCGTATTCATATACCACCGCATAAACTCCACATGTGTACTATAAAGTGGTTCTCCCTCTTCCAAGAGCATAGAGAAGTAAAGAGCCGAACACGCAAATGAAAAGATATGTTGCATAATATAATAAATTCCCAAACGACGATTTAAAAGAACATACGATGGTGGAAGAGAACTTGTATCTAATCCACTTGTATCTATTATCATCATCATCTCACTTGCCAATAGTGTAGATGAAGCTGCAGTTGTAGAAGTGGAAGTTAAACCTTTCCGGGCCCGATACCATTCAAATAAGAGAGATAAGACTCCCAAATCACATCCAAGTATATATAAGGTTCCACAACTGGCCAAATATCCTGTAAAAGTGCCGGTCCCAAACATTAAATGATTTACATGAAAAATAAAAAGGGCAAAGACAAGTAATAAATTTAATATCACAAGAAAAACACCGCCTTGAGTGGCCGCACGTGCCTGTCGCCAAAGTCTCACACTTGTCCGTTCCGTTCCAACATCATCATTATTGTTATTATTATTATTATTATTATTATTATTATTATTATTATTATTATTATTATTATTACCAACAGCAGCAGCAGCAGCAGCAGTAGACATGAGATGACGTGTTCCTTCTAAAGATCTCCAATCATTTTCTCTTACTCTGGATTCTCGCCGTAATCCTTCTCTTCCCTCATGAGAAAGACGTGTTGTTTCTGTATTCATGCTGAATATATTATGATGACTTTCCTCATTATACCTTTGTCCATACATAATATCAGTATTAATATTATTAATATTAGTATTATTAATAGTGGTTCGCATTCCTGTTTGTGTAGAGACAACAACTTCTTCCATTGTTCGTGGTAAACAACATTCAGATTCTAACGAAGTTGTTGTATTTACACTTGGTGATGTTAACATACTCCGTTTATTATGATGGCGTCTAGTTGAGATTTGATCTCCCACAACATAAAGCATCATATCACAACTACAAATAAGAAAAGCGTAAAGGACTTGTGAGGGTCGGAGAAAATAAGTGAGACAATTCGAAATAACGGAAAGCCAATTCACAGCCACCATTATACGTAGTGTTAATGGTAAAGCTAATAAACGTATAAGTGGATCATTTTCATATAAAAACTCACTATCCACTTCTTCTTCACCATAACGCTGATTGGATTCATCTGCATCAACTCCACTCGTATTATTAATATTATTATTATTATTATTATTATTATTATTATTAATATTATTATTATTAATATTATTATTAACCTGAGAGGGAGGAGGAGGAGGAAGCGGAGAAGAGGAAGAAGAAGGAGCCGCAGTCCCATCCAGCGTAGATACATGTATACTATTAACAGGAATATTTATATCAAGATTACAAGTAGATGGCCTTCGCAAGACACTATTCTTCTGTAGTGTAGTGTCTATTCCTGAATTCACAATAACAGTATTACTACCACTACTACTACCAATATTATTATTATTACTATTATTAATAATACTACCTCCTCCAGTAACCGTATTCGTAGCTGTATTCGTAGTAGTAGTATTCATAGTATTCATAGTATTAGGATTAACTAAAGAAGGTGAACCAATGAACATTTCATCCATTTCACTCACTGGGGAACTAACCGTCATGTTCTCTGCGGTAGCTGTGGATATGAATACCTTCACTCTACACGCAATATTCAGCAGACAACAGAGAAAAAGTCCAACATCGGATGCGTAGATTTGATCAAGACTTAAAGGAACGTTACTGGAAGTCATGAGCCTTATATATATAAATATGCATATAAAGAAAAAAAAAAGAGAAAGAGAAAAAGAGAGAGAAAGAGAGAAAAGATAAAGTGACCTATAATGAGGCAAGAAGAAAACTATATATATATATATATACAGAACAGAGAAAATAAGAAAAAAAAAATAATAATTAACCATCCACACAACTCGGTAACTATCAATACAGTAATCCATAGACGTTAAAAAGATATACCGCAAAAAAAAAAATAAAGGCGGTATACACTAAATAAATGTATAAAATAAGATAAATATAATGAATGTAAATCTATGTAAGTACCCTACTTTAATCCATTCACAGATTAATGGGTTTATCTATGTAACTTTAACCACTGCCATTTTTTTTTTTCATTTATTTTCTTTTTTTTTTTTCCACACTCCCACTATTCCTCCTTATTCATCACTCGGCAGTAGTGACAGATATACGCAGGTATAAATGTCTGCGTGAAAGAAAAAAAAAAAAAACAATAATAAAATAATAAAGAAAATAAGAAGCATACATACATCCCATAAAAAAGAAAAAGTACATTTGAGTCTACCAATGAATAAAAAATAATAATAATAAAAATAACAAAACTAGAGATGATCCATCTACTCAATTGATAAATCATTTCTAAATTCTCATTCTCATTCCTTTTATTATTATTTTTTTTTTTCTTCATTTCCCTTCCTCTCTTATTTATATGGTTGAGGCGGAAACATCTGGCATTCCAGAGGAGAGCATAGAGACTGTGGGATGTATTAAATTCTGCATGAGTTGTTGTTGTTGTTCGGCGTGCGCTAGTGCCACTACTTTATACCACACACTCTCCACTGCAAGTGTGGGTGAATGGTTCTCATTATTCAGAGAGACTCTATTAATATTATCATTATCACTATTATTATCATTATCACTATTACTATTACTATCATTATCATTATGAGGATTTACAGTACTCTGTGTGCAGATACTACTATATAATTCTTGTGGAACCATGTAAAGAGGTGCTGCACAGGGTACATCAGACTCATTATAACTATCATTATTATTATTATTATTATTATTATTATTATTATTATTATTANTAGTAGTAGTAGTAGTAGTATCGTAATGATCTGTCTCTCTTCTTATAGATGAACTCAACACAACAATACCAGTACTACCACGACCACTTTCCCTTTCTTCTCTTTCTTTATGTTTATATTTTTCTATTTCCATCCACTCTTCCTCCCGAGTATATTCCCCAACAGCTCCATCATTAAATTCTCTCTCACTCTTTTCATATCCTGATGGCTGTGCCGTACTCCCAGTCTCTGGTGAGTACATTAATTTACGCCGTAGTGCTGTGGACGGTGCCGCTGCGGCCGCCCGCACCCCACGCAGTGGAATGGAATCCGGTTTGGGTGTATTTTGTATAAATGGTGATTCCAGTCCAGTACCACACGTACGAGAGAGACCACTTCCATTCACATTATTATTATTATTATTATTATTATTATTATTATTATTATGGCTGTGTTGATGGGGTGGTGTTACCTGGTTAGAAGGAATTCCATAATGTTCTTCTTTTTCTCCCCTTTGTTGTTGTTGTTGTTGTTGAGATTGATAATGATGAGAATGATGAAAGGGATATTGTTTACATTGAGTGGGGGGAATAGTAACTTCTGGGGTTTCTGCTATTTCTGGTGTGAGTCCTGCAGAGTTGATTGTATTATTATTATTGCTGCTACTCTCATACTTCATGGGTGTGGTATCTATATTCATCTTTTGATAATGTATAGAATGAGTCTTCTCTATTGTAGGCTTATTATTATTATTATTATTATTATTATTATTATTATTATTATTATTATTATTATTATTATTCTGCTGTTGGGGTGCTGTAGCCCTACACTGTCCGGCAACCTTCTCACAGAGAGAAGCCAATGTAGCATGAATGCAGTGCAGTTCACTTCCTTCTGTACTGTTATTATTATTATTATTATTATTATTATTATTATTATTATTGGTAGTAGTAGTAGTAGTAATATTAGTATTATTATTATCAGCACAGATGACATTTCCACAACGGTAATCACTAGTAATACCAGTAGTAGTATTAGTAGTAGTAGCAATAATATCTCTATGATCATGAGGTTTCTGATGATAATCATCAACATTCATCAAACTTCTTCTTTTTCTCATTGTTGTTATGTTCTCTTTTCCTTGTTGACTTTCAAAAAGTTCTGGTTTTGTTTTCGTTGCCGCTGCGATAACCCGTTCACAACGGCGTAGTCGATGATCAATACGATCTATTCGCTTACACGTTTGCCGCCGCCACACCTTCAATTGATATTCCAAGTTTAGAAGTGTTTCCGTAATGACGCGAAATACCACACGAGATGAGATATTATCATCATCACTACCACTTCGACCGGATCGAGATGTGTACATTGAGGCTGAACTAAGCGGATAGGTATTATCACATATTTGTTGATGATGTTCATGTGGATTTATAGTATTGAGATAAGATACCGTTGGTCCTTCAAAGCCACGGACTAATTGAGTCATGGTGAAATTCTTACTATATATCTATATGCGTGTATTTATATATATATGTGGGATGTGATGCTGTGATCACAGCAGCTTTACAGAGAGACGCCGAAATCAGAAAGAAAGGAAAAAAAAGGGAAAAAAGGGAGAAAAATAAATACTATAACAAGAAATTCCTTTTTTTTTTTCTTTTTCTCACATCATAAGGGGAAGGTAGGAATACCGTATTTGTTTGTACCAATTACCATGATGAGCATATAATGGCTAAACAGTATTCACAGAAAGGGTAAACGTATTGACTATACATTGAAATATGGTTTCAAAAACATAAATATATATATATATATATATATATATATATATATTTATATAAAAGAGGAAGGTTACAAATACATTCACTTGTTCATCAAAGAAGAAAGGTATTCTTGCAAAGTAGTCGTTTTTTTTTTCTTTTTTTGTTTGTTTCTTCCTCCCTTTTTTATCTCTTGATCCATGAAGTTAACATAATAATAAACAACAGAATAAAACAAATCATATACAAACGTGTATTTACATGAGGATTATTTTTTTTTTTTTTGTTCGTGAGAGGTGAAGGGAAGTTTCTATTATATAATAAATCTTCTTTTAACCCCCTCTTTCATTCTCTCTCACTGTTTCGTTATGTTTGTTTGTAGTTTGTTTTATCCACGACAGCAAAATTGATGTTTTCTTACCGATATCTGTACTCCATAGATCTTTCTCTTCTTTTTTTTTCTATTTTCTTGTTTTCTTTTGTATATATAAGAAAATAAAAGAGAAAACCCTAGTGATACTCATAAAATGCCATTCCTGCAATTCCCGTCCTTTCTTTTTTTTTTTTCTATTCTCACTTCTTTTTACCAGGAAATAGGATGTAAAAAAAAAGGTATGTAAAGCAACAAGAAATAAATAAATATATTGCAAAGCAAAACAACACAGCAAGAAAGAAAGAAAGAAAGAAAGAAAGAAAGAAAGAAAAAAAAAAAAAAAAACAATTTCCCCTTCCTCTCTATACTAAAACTTGACTTTAGTCATCCAAGTCGTCTCATCCTCATACTGGCAGTTAATATTCGTCGTCTCATCATACGGCTTACACACCTGATGAGTAGCCCGCGCGGGGTATCGAAGACCAAATGTAAAGCCCTTCCCACTGCGTACACCCTCCGCGATGGTATCATTCTCCACATTGTAGGAAGGACCACCATCGCCGTTGGCGCCAAGATGTCTACTGCGACTGTAATCTCCTCGGTAAAATACCGTCCCACGAACAGAGTCCGTTGGTTTGACATCATAACAAAGCGGACCAGCCGTTTGTTCCGCAGGGAAGCGACTCCCAATACCAAATCCACTAACGTTTGCATACTTAGATGGACGTACCGCATCCAAGTTGGGATGATACATACCAGGACCACCGGGTTCATCTCCACCGGCTCGTGCCTGTTGGGCGCTTTCTTCCATCGCCGCGGGATCGAATGGACGTGCAGCAAAGCGGAAGCCATTACTGGTCATGGGTGGTTTACCTAAATCATGTGCGCCAGGGCCCAACGTTCCAGTGGCGGCGCCCTTTTCATCTCGCCAGGTACGGGCTCCAAATGACATTCCCTTTCGGAAGTCTTGATCAAATTCAGAGGGAATTGGATAATCACCAGGTCCTGGTCCAGAATCCGCAACGGCTCGAACAGTCTTGGAACTTGGTAATGTTTGTAATTTTTGAGCAAATACTGGGGTATGTGTGGGTCCTTTGCGCATAATACGACTCACATCACCGTAATCTGCAGGTCCAGGTCCAGGTACAATAGGTCGCTTATACATATGATATCGTCCACCAAAACTAGGTCCATCATATAATCGTTGCTTTGGTGGGGCACAACGTGCAGCAATTGTAGTAGGATCACCATAACTTCCAGGACCTGGAGAAGTATCTTCCGCAATAACTTTATGTACAGAAGTAATAAACTCTTTGCGTTTGGGCTTTTCATCACCAAATCGTGGGACATTATAGGTTGCTGGTCCAGGAACATTATCACGTGTAGTTAATATTTTTGTCCGTTGCCCAAAATGGGGTCCTTTACGACCAGTAGAATCAAAAACAGAGGGAATGGCATAATCCCCTGGTCCTACAGTAGCACTGGCTGGTTTCCCACGAATTTTACCATACATAGAAAATGCTGGAGTATCAGGTGATAAGGCGAGACTGTATTGTTTCGGCAATGGTGGTGGGGTAGAACGTCCTTTACTAACACCCACTACCATCTTCCGTGCTGTTTGTGCAGCCGCAACGTCATTCGCAGCAGATACATCACACGGTGGACCAAAGACGGTAGAGCGGCACTGTCCAACAGTAGTTGGGATATGATATTCACCAGGTCCAACCGTCGTCTCCTGCCGCCGCTCAGCGTACTTCCCTAACATTGATCCTTTTGGAATATCATGATTATCTACCGTGTAACTCATAGGACCAGGCCGATGATCACGAAGTCGTAGATGCGCCCATTCTGTGAAACCACCAATTAATGCCATTATCCTTTTTCTTTTATTCCCTTCTCTCTCTTCACCCTGCCTCCCCTCTCTTCCACCATTCACCAGAAAATAACCAGCAACAACAAGAAGCCAAGGCAAACGGCAACAACAACAAAAAAAAGAAACAAGAAGAAAAAAACAAGACACAATTACAAAAAAGACAACAACAAAAACAAAAAAAAAATACAAAAAAGAAACATAACAGAGACAGGTTAAACCACCTGTCGACTACCCAAAGTAAAGATAGTCAATGTTTACCAAATTCGCAGAGAATACGGAAAAATGACAAAAAAGAGAAAAAAAAGAGCTATCACATCACTCATGCACTAACAATGCGCTCAAGCAGTGGCCTCAACGGCGGCTTCCTGAGCCACCTCCACGGCGATGGTTTCACCCTCACCAGAGGTGGGAATTTCACCGTGGGCGCCGAGCAGTGCCTGTGCATCGAACTTGGGTGTGCGCACCACCTTCACCTTGCGGATGCGCAGATCACGCAGAGGCACGATGGGGTTGCAGCGCTTGGCAAGACGGTCGCGGAGGATGTTGCGGGCCAACAGTGTGGTCGCCTCGTTGATGGTTGCCTTGGCCAGACGCTGGCGGATGAGGTTGGTCATGCGCAGGCGCACCCACTTCACCAGACGTGTCTTGGCGTAGCAGTTCTTCGAGAGCTGGTTGCTCTGCTTGCGTGTGAAGGCAATCACGAAGAGGCGCATCGTGTAACCGTCGGCGGTCTTGGCCTCCACTGTGGTCTCAATGGTTGTGCACCACTTGCGGAGGAGGTTGAAGATGCGGTCAGACGTCATGTCCATGCTGTGGAACTGCGTGAGCAGGTTGCGGCCCTGCACCTCCTGCACCATAAACTTCATCTTGCGGTAGGCATCATCCTCAGACTGGGTCTTGTTGAGATCAGCCAAGTTGCTCTCATACACACGTCCGCGAAGGTTGTCTGCCGCGATCTTGATTCCCTGGGTCTTGTTACAGATGGTCTTGCAGAATTGGCGCACTTCGAAGTTCTTGGGGGCCACCACATCATACCATTCCTTGCGGCTCATGGCCTCCTGAATCTTCTTCTTGCCGCGCTTGCCGCCCTTGCTGATGCGCTTGTTCTTACCGAGGGTCATGACTACTGGAGACGGATGTGTATGCTCTCTGTAAAACAATTAAATAATAGTAATAGTGCAACACAGAGGAAAAGGAAGAGAAGAAAAAGAAAAGGAAAGAAGCAAAGGAGAGAGAGAATTAAAAAAAAAAAACCATGGAAAGGAGAAAATCAGTAAAGAAATATTCAGAGAATATCCCTACAAGAGGAAAAAGCAATAAAACAAAGAAGTACTATAACGAGTATAAGTTCCTTGTTTCTTTTTTTTTGTAGTTAGGGCAAAAATAGACAAAACAGAAATAAATAAACCGTTCAGAGACAGAGAAGTTTTACAGCAAACTACTGCAACCACTGTTGTTGATGTGTGCTCACGGCAGTCATGCCGGGAACTCGCGCTCAAGCAGTGGCCTCAACGGCGGCTTCCTGAGCCACCTCCACGGCGATGGTTTCACCCTCACCAGAGGTGGGAATTTCACCGTGGGCGCCGAGCAGTGCCTGTGCATCGAACTTGGGTGTGCGCACCACCTTCACCTTGCGGATGCGCAGATCACGCAGAGGCACGATGGGGTTGCAGCGCTTGGCAAGACGGTCGCGGAGGATGTTGCGGGCCAACAGTGTGGTCGCCTCGTTGATGGTTGCCTTGGCCAGACGCTGGCGGATGAGGTTGGTCATGCGCAGGCGCACCCACTTCACCAGACGTGTCTTGGCGTAGCAGTTCTTCGAGAGCTGGTTGCTCTGCTTGCGTGTGAAGGCAATCACGAAGAGGCGCATCGTGTAACCGTCGGCGGTCTTGGCCTCCACTGTGGTCTCAATGGTTGTGCACCACTTGCGGAGGAGGTTGAAGATGCGGTCAGACGTCATGTCCATGCTGTGGAACTGCGTGAGCAGGTTGCGGCCCTGCACCTCCTGCACCATAAACTTCATCTTGCGGTAGGCATCATCCTCAGACTGGGTCTTGTTGAGATCAGCCAAGTTGCTCTCATACACACGTCCGCGAAGGTTGTCTGCCGCGATCTTGATTCCCTGGGTCTTGTTACAGATGGTCTTGCAGAATTGGCGCACTTCGAAGTTCTTGGGGGCCACCACATCATACCATTCCTTGCGGCTCATGGCCTCCTGAATCTTCTTCTTGCCGCGCTTGCCGCCCTTGCTGATGCGCTTGTTCTTACCGAGGGTCATGGCTTCTCTTCTCTCTAGAGAGGTTTATGTGAAAAATATATATGTGTAGAGTGTGATTTAGATACACAGGTGAACACACACACAAACGTATATATATAGAGTGTGGAACACGTGAAGTGGAGGGTGAAAAAAAAGGGTGGAAAGAGAAGGAAAGAATTAGAAAATTAGAAACAATTGGAGAAAAAGAATAGGATGCCTAAAATAGAGATTTCACGATGGGAAAGAAATAGAAATAATCTGTTTTATGTACAAAAAAGGGAAAAACGTGAAAAGACTGAAAAAAAAAAATGGTAAGCCAAAAAAAAAGGGGCCAGATAGGGTAATAGAATTGCACTACTCCCTAATGTCTCTTTTTATACTACCATTCTTATCATGTATATTCGTCTCCATATTTATGCCGTTTCTTTCGTTCCTGTTTTTTTCTTTTTCTTGTTTTCTTCAAACGTTTCGTCGCTTTTATTCATATTTTTCATTCACTCATGTGTGTATAGGTGGATAAGTTTCCACTTGTAATGTATGTGAATGTAAGTGTGTGGGTGTGGGTGTGGGTGTGGGTGTGGGTGTGTTAGCATGAAAGGAAGAGTTCGTAGTCTACCGATATGCCACTGGCGCAACTACCATCAAGAGATGTCACCCATCCGCCTTGCCATGTGCTCCCACAGCTTACAACAGAGTCAATACGATTCCTAAAGGACATACCGGAAGTTCCCTCCTCCTTCTCTCCTGCACTCTGAGTGTTATGGTTATTACCATCATTACTACTATTATTATTCTGACTGGTGCTATTCTTTTTATGACTACCGTTAACGGGATTATTATGATTTTCTTCAGCCATTTGAGCAGAAGGCTCTGACTTTTGTAATGGAATAACACGCACCTCTGAGTCGATACCAGCAGCCACAACTGCCTTGCCTGATGCGAGTGGTGCAATAGAACCAATTTCGTACTTTAGGACATTTGTTGTAATACTCAGACAATTCCACTTACGCACGTCATGTACACAAATGGAGCGACCCACCGCTACTGCCACTTCATACTCGTTGCTTGTTGTACACACATCCGCTACAGAATGAGTAGGACTTGTGAATCGACCCGTAACGGGTGAAGAATGACTTGTTTTTCTTTCATCCTTCTCTAGTTGAAGGACGGCTCCTGAGCAGCGTACATCATATACACTAGCCAGTGGTCCTTCCGCTATCACCACACTGTGGGAGACACCGGCACAAGCTGAAATGCCTGTGGGTGGATGTGTGGTACTGTACTCCTGCACGACTGTTCCTGCCGATGCATCCAGTAAACGGAGATCAAAGAAAAACTCCCGACAACAGGCGAGAAGATTGGAAGGAAGCGGCACAAGTCCACACCATCCACGTGCCCCAGTAGAGAGGGAAGAAGAAGAAGAAGAAGGAAAAGATGATAATAATGAGGATGAAGAGGAGGAGGAGGAGGAAGATGCCGATGCTGCGATAAGCTTCCAGAAGGAATTATCATCATTCGATTCCTGTCGTATACGTTTGGTTGGTGCCTCATCTGTACTTATCATTGCAGATGCGGCGGGCAGTGTAGTGCAGTACACATTCCCCACTACATCCGCAACGTAAAGTATTGGTGAAGAAAATACGGCGGCGTTAGTGCCTGCCTGCAGCATTGCCGTGTGGGTTTCTGGTGTGAGTTGTATACATCCAATGCGCTCCTGTGATGGCAGTGGGGTGGATTCCCAATACACATCACCGTCCATTAAGGCACAACTGCGAGTGAGACGAGTTCCCTCACGGGGATCTGTTGCGATGAGACCTGTCATCATCACAGAGAGTGGATCATCATGTTTATTATTATTATTATTATTATTATTATTATTCTGTTTATTCTGGTGTTTCATGTTGTTATCATCTTCTGTTGAGTCCTTTCCATCATCGTCATTATTGTTTCCCATTCCACGGGGTTTAAGACGACGAAGAGTCCCAAGTTGTCGTTGTTGTTGTTCTTTTTCTTCTTTTTCTTCTTGTTGAATGTATGGTGTTCCCTTTACGTCTGTGGCTGCGGTGACACTAATGTGTGTACGTGATCCCTTCGGCACATACGGCCGCTTTGAATTCCCCGCTGAAGGCATAAGAACACCGCGAATAGTGGCGAATGTGTACGACTCCATCACTGTTAATATGTGTGTGTTTACTCTGCAGACCACGTACACTATTAGGACTGTAGATATATATATATATATATATATATATATATATATATATGAAATGTAGAGAGATGAAAGTAGACAAGGGAAAGAAAGAAAAGAGAAGTAAAGAAGTCAACTAATTAAACCCACGGAAGACTGGTTCAGAATAGGGTGTCATTTCTCCCGTTACATATAAATAATGGAAAATAAAAGAAAAACAAACAAAAAACAAATAAACAAACAACAGAAAGAAAACAAAAAAAAAAAGAAAAGCACACCATACTAATGAGTAAAATATTGAACAAAAAGTCAAACAAAGAAGTATATATATATATATAT